ATAGAATAGAATAGAATAGAATAGAATAGAATAGAATAGAATAGAAAGGGATGGGATGGGATGGGATGGAATAGAATAGAATAGAATAGAATAGAATAGAATAGAATAGAATAGAAACGGATGGGATAGAATAGAATAGAATGGGGTGGGGTGGGGTGGAGTAGAGTAGAGTAGAGTAGAGTAGAGTAGAGTAGAGTAGACTAGTGTAGAATAGAATAGAAAGGGATGGGATGGATGGAACGGAACGGAACAGAACAGAACAGAACAGAAAGGACAATGGGAATGGGAATGGGAATAGAATAGGAATAAGAATAGAATAGAAAAACAGAAAAAAAATACTACCAACCTGCCTTCCATTGAGGACCTGCATGAATCAAAAAGAGGGCTGTGAAAAATATTTACAAGACCCCTCACATCCCGGACATAAACTGTTTCAACTCCTTCCCTCAAAACAACGGTATAGAGCACTGCACACCAGAACAACTAGACACAAGAATATTTTTTTTCCCCGAAAGCCATCACTCTGCTAAACAAATAATTCCCTCAACACTGTCCAACTATTTACTAAGTCTGCACTACTATTACTATGTACAGGTCGTCAGTTGAAGGCAGGTTGGTAGCAATTGTTTTTTTTTTGTTGTTGTTCTAATGATCCTTTGAAGTCACGTTTTTTTTGTGCCATTGTAACCTTGAATGGTTACTAAGCAAACATTTCTAAGACAATGTCTACTGGATGTGAAAGGGTTCAATTGAATGATACAATTGTTAACAAGAAAACTATGAATCTTTCCCACCCCCCCTTAATTTTATTTCTAATTTCAAAAGTAATTCCTGGTTACTGATATTGACCTCATTTTTAAACATCTTCACATTCATTTCAGTCAGCAAAAGGTGCTATTGTGTTGTTCCTAAGCTTTACATGTGTCGTTGGTTCCTTTTCGGCAGAGGTTGTGCTAACAGGCTCAGGTACCACGGAGATAACTTCGGTGAACAGCACCGTTTCCTTTGAAAATGTGGACAATTACTACAAACCTGGACTTCCTCTCTCTGGGGAGGTAAGGCAAACTGGTTGATGACCACCCTCGTTAAATATTTTATTTGAACCATGTATTGAATCAGTGGGTGAGTAGGACTGTCCAAGAAGCCCTTCCTATTCTTTGGATGCAACCCACTCTTAAGTCTCAGAGACGGGTGGGATTCGACCGGTTCAGACTGGTTTGAGTGTACTGGATGTTAAATTTGCATCTGGTTTGTCGAAATGGTATTTGAACCAACCGGCTGGCTCCGCCCACCCCTCCCCACTCCACGCGACTCATTTGCAATGCAGGTGAGTGCAGGGTTCGCGCAGAGTCTCTGGGAGGGGGGGAAAACAGGCCTTCCGGAAGTCTGGAAACGGGCCTATATCTGCCTTCCGGAGGGCCTCCAGAGTCCAGGGAGGCCATTTTCCCCCTCCCAGAGACCCGAGGCAAGCTTCTAGACCCTTGGGAAGGTGAAAAACGGCCGTCCTGGAAGTTCCGGTAGGCCAACCCCACCATGGCCACACCCACCCAGCAACTGGGTAGCGAACTGGTTGCTGGGATTTATTTATTTTTTTGTAAATTTTATTAGTTTTTAAAAACAAACATAAACAAACAAAACATAAAAACATAAAAATCTCTTCCATAAGTGTACAGTGTGCCGGTTGGTTTACAAATTATTTTGTGCCTCCATTTTGTAGTCTTCAATTACAGTTACATTACATAAAAGCTCATATTATCAATCAAAGATTAAATATCCTAGTATGATTATTAATCAATCATTTGACTATAGTTTTATTCATTCATATTTTACAAGATAACCATAATTTAGTTAATTTATTTTATAACAGTTCATATTATCATCCCAAATCAATCCTAGAAACATTTTGTAGATATAATAAAAAAAGAAGTACATCTTTATATATTTATTATTTTCTAAAAATCTACGTTTCATTACTGTATTTTATTATCTAACCATTGATAGAAAAGGTCCCAAATTTTATAAAATTGTTTATCCTCTTGCTCTCTGATTTCAAATGTCAATCTACTCATTTCAGCACATTCCAATATTTTCTTAATGATTTCCTCCTGCAATGGTATTTTCTCATTTTTCCAGTTTTTAGCAAATACAATCCTAGCCGCTGTTAATACATTTACAATCAGATATTTCAAATCTTTACTATATGTTTCAGGTAAAATTCGCAATAAAAATATCTCTGGTTTCAAGTCTATATGGTTTTTTTTTTGTCATTTTTTCCAACCACTTCTGGATTTTAGTCCAGTATTTTTTAGAGATTGCTGGGATTTTTGAATCCTACTTCTGCTTAGAGATATTGCTCCTGAAGTCCTGAAGGTCCTTTTTCAAGAGGCAGCTGGACTTCCCTTGTTTTTCTTCTCATCCGAGAAGCTTCTTCGAGTTCTAATTGAATGGTGAGGAATGGAAGGATTAATGACCAGCTGTCTGCAAGGAATATAAATCCTTCCATTCCCCACCATCCAGTCAGAACTGAAGAAGCTTCTTGGATGAAAAGTGAAATGTCTTTGAAGTAAAACAAGAAAGCCCAGTTGACCCTTGGGTGGGGAAAAAAGGCTCTTTGGGACTTAGATAAGTGGTTCCTCTTCCCCTCTGACCCAACTCCTGTTCACACAGCTACCCTGTGTGAAGGGTACCCTGATTGACGTACGCTAGACTTCAATCTAGCACAGCAATTGGATCCGTTCCTAAGCTTGTGTTTGCTTTGTAACTTTAGCTTAAGCTTGAGGATGGCAGAAGAAACCCAATAACCAACAAGACCATTAAGATTCGAATATCAGGAGTACAGAACAGTTCCTACTTCACGACGGATGAAAATGGAAAAGCCCACTTTTCCATAGAGACTTCCGGCTTCACAAGCGATAACGTGCAGCTCACTGTGAGTATTCTTAGTGATGGAGTTGTTAACTGTAATTTACGGCAAGGTTCTTAGCTTGGTGTATCCTTTGCCAAATAGGATCCGAGGTAGAAAGGTACTTTTTACTTATGAATAAGATGGGGTGCAATGGCTGAGTGGTTGAAGACTCTGAGCTTGTCAGTGTTTGAGACCTGAGTCCTGCGTTATGGCATGAGCTCCTGTTACTTGCTCCAGCTCCTGCAAAATGCGAGTAGATAAATAGGTACCATTTTGGTGGGAAGGTAACGGCGTACCATGTGGCTTTACATATAGTCCCACTGGCCACATGACTATGGAAATGTCTTCGGGCAATTCTGGCTCTCTTGGCTAAGAAACGGACATAAACACTGTCCCGTAGAATTGGACACAACGGAACGAGGGAAAGCTTTACCTTATCAGAATTCCCACTTTTACATTTTGTGATTTTTCTCCAGTTCCTTTTCTCCTATTCTGCTCCTGCCACATCCATTATCCAGACATTTTTTTTGTCTTTCTTATCGACAGTTGGTAAATCTGGGCTTTTATGTGGCAGGTGCTCGCCTTGGGGGCCTCTCAGGCATCCTGCCATAAAAAGAAGAAGTGGGGAAGAAGGGGAAAGGATGAAAGGGCAACAAAGCTTTGTGCGTATGTGATAGGAAATCAGGAGGGGGTAAATGACAGGTGAGAAGGACCGGATCCAGGGGTGGGTTTCTGGGGGTTCGCAGAGTTCGGGAGATCCTCTAGCTAAGATTCTGTGCAGTTTGGAGAACCTCCAAATCCCACTCCTGGCTGGCCCTCCCCGCCCCGCCTTTCCCAGGAGTCCCCACATGGGGTGGGCACATAAGTGCAGGGCGCAGAGGCCCAGGGAGGCTGAAAAACAGGCCTCCCAGAAGTTCAGGAAGGCCGGAAATGGGCCCTTTCTCAGCTTCCAAAGAGCCTCCGGAGCCTGGGGAGGCTGTTTTCACACTCCTGGAGGCTCGAGAAACGTCTAAGGAGCCCGGAGACGACAAAAACGTTCCCCTCCCCTGCCGTCGTGTAGGAGGCCAACTACCCCGTAACCGGGAAGAGAACTCATTGCTAAAATTTTTGAAGCCTACCCCTGACCAGAGATCCTGTTTATACCAGCATCCCACAGCCAGGCACCCTGAGAAATATGCGGATTACACCCGCCCCCCAAAAAACACCTCAGAGTTCTCAAAACATCTTGGTGAGGTCTCGCTTGGCTGGAAACGGACTGGTAACGGCGGGTTGTGTGTGTGAGGGGTGTTGAGGTAATTCCCCGTTAGGAGAATGAGCGCATACAGGGAGACCTATTTGAGAGGAGTGTTTGAATAATACACATACAGCACACAGATACACTGTACAGTAAATGTAGGTTTTTACTTCCAGAAACGTTAAGCAAAGTTCAAAATAAGCAATCCAAAGTCATTCACAGGTAAAATCAGTCAGTTTTCATCCAGGGATAATCCAAATATCAAAGTCCGGTGTCCAAAAACAGTTCAGTATCAGACTTACATTAAATCCAGGAATATCAGTCAATTAGAAGAAATGGAGCAACGGCAATACTTCCCAACAGAAGGAAACAGAGACTGACTCACACTCTCTTCTGAGACTAAGACTAAGACAATCCAAGTTTCTGGCTCCATCTTATGGCTGTTTGAAAAACCACACCCAATTGCAGTTTTTGCAATCTCTTTAAAGACATAATACTAAAATGTTTATCCTGGTTTATATATTTCTAACCCAAATACCTGTTAGGTGACTTATATTCCTAACAAGGGGGAAGGGAATGGCTGGGGGCAAACTTACACCTCATGTTTGTATCTAGCGAGCGCGGGAGATTTCAGAGCTGGCTTGACTTTGCTGCAGCCAACATCCTTAGTAAAAGAACCCTTTGCTTTAACCAAATGGAGCCGAAGGCTTTTCTTTCCCAACGGATCGGATTGGGGCAGGTCTGACAGTTTGTCTGGCTGAATTCTAAAAAGTCTTGGAGCACTTTGGCTTCTTCCTTTCCTATGACTTTGTCTATTTTCTAGATCCTGCCCGTTTTTGCTCTTGCAGATCTTCCAATGCACCACTGTTGCCACTTTGTCATGCTTGTAGTCAGTCTGGATCTGGGTGGATCTTCTTGCAGCAGCTAGCGAGGTGGTTCACGGTTTCTTCAGCTCCTTTGCAGAATCGACATCTGCTGTGTGTTAAACGCCAATGGAGATTGTCAATCGTCCAGTTCATGGTTGTGTCAGATCCCTAAAATGATACTGCCCTTCAACTAGGGAAAGGGGGAGGGGAGTATATTTCTTTATTCCTACTTCTGACAACTGTTGTTTTATAACCTTTATCCTGGTGCCTAAGCACCCTGAGGTTTTCTCACCTTTGGGGGAATGTATAAGGGGGGAGGACCATGTGGGTTGTTTCACTCTGAAAGCCGGCAGAAGATGACCCTGGGGATGCCTGTGTCAGGGCTCCAGTAGTCACCTCCATTTAAATTATGAGTCTCTAGCTGGTTCTTTCAGACAGCTTACAGAACACAAGGCTTGCATCGCTCGCATTGCGAACAACACAAGGTAATGTGGAAGGCGGGGAACTTGCCCCATGCGCCTCACTTGGCCACCGGGCTGTTTTTTTCCACTTCTTTCTTCTTCTGCTTTTGGCTGCACCCAAGGAAAGCAGCAACGGTCTTTCTTTCCCTCCCCCAAACTCCACCAGAAATGAGTCTTTGGGACTCTGCAAGGCCTCCTGCTCCAAGGGGCTGTGCCATTCTGGCGGAGTTTGGGGGAGAGAAAGAAAGATTTCTGCTGTTTTCCTTGCATGAAGCCAAAAGTCTCTCTCTCTCTCTCTCTTCCCCTGAGAACGGAGCTGGAGACGGTATCCTGTGATCCCAAATAAAGAATGATCGATCGGTAGGAAAACAGAGTGGGGAATTTTCCTGCAGACTTTTTGGGGGATTTTCCCAGAGTCTCTGGTCCGCGAGATTTAAAATTATGAGTTTGGGCTCCCCGAGGTCCAAAAGGTTGGCGACCCCTGCTCTATAGCGTCATTTTGAGGGAAGGAATTGAAACAGTTTATGTCCGGGATGTGAGGGGTCTGTAAATATTTTCACAGTCCTCTTTTTGATTCCTGCAGTATACAGGTCCTCAATGGAAGGCAGGTTGGTGGCAATTGTTTTTTCTGCAGTCCTAATTACTCTCTGGGGTCTGTGCCTGTCGTGTTGGGTTGCAGAACCAATTCCTCTGTAGAATATTCCCCCAGTGCATTTTTTCCTTCAACTGTCCAGTGTATATGATGATGATGATGATGATAATTGGTTATCCTTCCTCTTCTTTGCCAGGCAAGTTATGCAGAAGTACCGCACTGTTACGATTCAAACTGGGTCTTCCCTGAACATCGGTCTGCCTACGTCACAGTATCACGTTTCCATTCTCCAAGTCAAAGCTACCTCAACATTCAAAAGCTTCCTGGCAAACTAAAATGCGGGCAAGATGCGGTGATCCCGGTCCATTACATTCTCAATTCAGAGGTCATAAAGGACAAAGAAGTTTTCTTTCACTACTTGGTAAGTAGGAACAAAGTGGCCTTTATTTCACTCACAAGGGCCGAAGCAGGAAGAGGAATGGAGGGGAGGGAGTATCTAAGGAGTAAAGGTGTAGTACAAGAGACATGTGGAGCAGTAGTGAGATTCAATTTTTTTTTTTACCACTGGTTCAGTTGGCGTGGCTTGGTTATTTAAGCACTATAAAAAAGATGTTGAGACTCTAGAAAAAGGGCAGAGAAGAGCAACCAGGATGATGAGGGGACTGGAGACTAAAACATATGAAGAACGGTTACAGGAACTGGACATGGCTAGTCTAGTGAAGAGAAGGACCAGGGGAGACATGACAGCGGTCTTCCAATATTTGAAGGGCTGCCACAGAGAGGAAGAGGGTCAAGCTATTTCCCAAAGCACCCGAAGGCCAGAGAAGGAATAATGGATGGAAAGTGAACAAGGAGAGATTTAACCTGGAAATAAGGAGAAACTTTCTGACAGGGAGAACAATCAACCAATGGAACAGAAGTTGCCCTCAGAAGTTGTGGGAGCGCCATCAGTTGAGACTTTCGAGAAGAGATTGGATTCCCATCTGTCAGAAATGGTGTAGGGACTCCTGTTGGACTAGATGACCTACAAGGTCCCTTCCAACTCTGATTATCTGTTATCTGTTGAGCAGTTTTTCTTTCTTAGATCCCACCCAACTACAGAGATCTCGACAATAAATCTTTTTGTTTTTTTTTCCTCAAAGGTGGTGTCCAGAGGGGATATTGTGAAGTCAGGTACACATCCCTTGAAAGAAAAGCATAATAAAGGTAAAAAACTGTTTTTCCTTCTCTTTCCACTTTCCTTCCACCCATTTTCCTTTGGGAATGAATGAACCGATGAAAGAGTCGGTCTCTTATTCCATTTTTTGCCCGAAATGCTAATAAAATCTCATCTCCAAAGTATGGCCACATTAATTGGAAGAGCGCATTCCAAAATATGTTGATGGCCGTTATGTCAATGGAAGATAATTTCACACAGGCAGGTTCTGTGAATTTTTATTAATCAATACCTCACCTGCACCAGTATTACACCGAAATATATATAGATCGCATTTGAAGAGATCCTTACCGTGTGTGTGACATGCAGACATTATCTATATAAAAGCGAAATACCACTCACGCGTCATCACAAAATCTCCAGAACCATAAAGCCTACAAACTTTGAAATTTGGCATGTATGCTCCTCTTGGCTTCTAGGTACTCACTAAGAAAGGATTTTTCCAAATGACCATCAGAGCATTAGTATTTCCTATGTGATTATTAACACGCTCTGATGCTAAGGAGTTCTACTCCCCCTCCCCACCTGAAAAGAAAACTGTTTCAAGTGCAAAACACAAGCAGAGGATGGCGGGGAGAAGAGGGGATGGCTCCATGTGAGCGGTGGAAATTTGCACTTGTGCACACAATTCCATGAAGGCCCGCCACTTACACAAGTGGAGCTGCATACACAGCACAATCGCCCACCACTTGTGCGGCCCGGTTCTGAATGGGCCACAGCCCGGGGGGAGTGGGGTTTGTGGACCCCTTTTCTCAGGTCATTGTTAGACTTTGCTCTAGTGTTACCTCAGGGAACGGAACTCTTTCCAATGGATCGCCCTGGCCTTAATTCTTTGCGGTTTCTCGGCCTCCCTGAAAAATGTCTGTTCTTTAACCAGGAACGTTCAACTTGGACCTCCCTGTGGATATCACGATCGCTCCTCTGGCCCGCTTGCTCGTGTACACAATTTTGGATAACGGAGAACTCGTGGTGCACTCTGCCGATTTCCCCGTGGAGCCCTGTTTCGCAAATAAGGTAGGGTGCCAACAAATGCCTCCCGGTGTGGATTCTTCCAGCCGGGAAACAACGCTTGGAAGAATAAATGGAATAACGAAGCAAAGCTGCCGGAAAGGGGTCTTTTAATGGCAAGAACAGTGGTGGGGCTCATTTCCGGCGGGATGAGTCTGCCTATCGAGATGAGGTGGACTGGTCGCTTTTGTGATGTGGAGACAATAACTTGGTCCTTAACAGCAATAAGACCAAGGAGCTTATAGTGGATTGTCGAAGGAACAGATCAGACATCCAGCCCCTTGCTTATCAATAGAGACCGAGTGGAGCAAGGGGCCAGTTTTAAGTTTCTGGGTGTTACCATAAAAGAGGACCTGACCTGGGGTGCCCACATTGCAACCCTGGTCAAAAGGGCCCAGCAGAGGCTTCTCAGAAAACAATAATTCAGTGAAAACCTTCTGGTGACCTTCTACCGCTGCATCATAGAGAGTATCTTAACTTACTGCACCTCTGTATGGTTTGCACAGTGGCAGATAGGAAAGCACTCCAGAGGGTTAAGGTCATTGCCCAGAAGATCACGGGTTGCCCTCTCCCCTCTTTGGAAGAGGTTTATAGCTCCCACTGCCTTAAGAAAGTTCAAAACCTTCTCAAAGATCCATCTGATCCTGGACACCCTTTTTTTTTGAATTATTACCATCTGGCAGACGATACAAGAAAATAAAAACAAGGACAAATAGGCTGAAAAGCGGCTACAAAAGAAAAACAGGACAGTAGCTCTGTTGAATTCTACTGTATAGTGCAGTGTTGGTGCGACGTCGGGGGTTTTCAGTTCAGTGTGTGGAGGGTGAAGGATGTGTGTTTGTGTTTATTTTCATGCTCATGATGTGCACTGAAGGTGGTGTTTGATTTCGTTGTACGAGCTCAATTAAAACTAAGAAACCAAGATGGGTGACATTCAGCAAAGTTTCTTGGCTTGGTTGATGTCTAAGGCTCTGTGTGTTGTGTTTGGCTCCTGGATTGCCTCATAATAGTAGTCACACTGCAAACGCTTGTGACGTTTCCTGTCGCTTAGGTGAGCCTGCGATTTGCTGACCGCGAAGGCCTGCCCGGCAGCAGCATCAACCTCCATCTTGCCGCTGCCCAGAACTCCCTCTGTGCCATCCACACGGTTGACGAGAGCGTCTTCCTTCTGAAGCCTGAAGCTGAACTTTCCCCTCAAACGGTGAGGCCAAATTGCCAGCCCGGTCTTGGCGGGCTGCGAATCCCTGAGCCCTTTTGAGATGACCCTATAATAATGGAGTTGGAATGGGACCTTGGAGGTCTTCTTGTCTGCCCCCCCCCCCCCCCCTCCTCCCGCTGAAGCAGGAGGCCTTGTACCATTCCGGATAAATAGCTGCCGGTCCGGTCGCTTCTTAAAAACCTCCACAACTTCTGGAGGCAAGCTGTTCCATGGGTTAATTGCTCTCAGGATTTCTGAGCTGAGCTGCCGGCCACCCTCCATTGGAGCCGGGGGAGCCTCCCCTGAGGTTCCCCTCGGAACAATATGGCTGCTGTGCTGTAAAAGCAAAGGAGCCGCCACAGAGAGTCCACAGGCATTTTGGGGGCAACAAAGGGAAGGCAGTGCCGGCTTTCCAATCATTTGCAGCCAATATGCTGTCTGGAGAAAAAAAGGGGAAAAAAATGAGTCAATTTGATTGGCTTAGGGATCTGTAGGGTCCATGGTTCTGGAAGGTTCATCAGAAATGGAAGGGAAGGAAGGAAGGAATAAGAGGGAGGGAGGGAGGGAGGGAAAGAAGGAAGGGAAAGAAAGAAGGGAGAAGAAAGGGAGGGAGGGAAGGAAGGAAGGAGAGAGAGGAAGGAAGGAAAGAGGGAGGGAGGAAGGATAGGGAGGGAGGGAGGGAGGGAAAGAAGGAGAGGGGAGGGAGGAAGGAAGGAAAGAAGGGGAGGGAGGAAGGAAGGAATTAGTTTCAGCAATGAATTTTGGGAAGGAAGGAAGGAAAGAAAAGGAAGGAAGGGGAGAGAGGGGGAGGGGAGAAAGGGAAGGGAGGAAGGAAGGAGGGAAGGAAGGAAA